TTTGTTAGTACCATCTGACTTTGAAAGGACAGCTTTAGAAAGCAAACACTGATTCAAAAAAATCTTTGTTCTCCACTAATAGCACAATATATTCTTCCACAGATACTGCTTTGTGGGGAGGTCCAGAGCCCCAAATCAGCAATTTTAAAATTGCTTCCATCTCTCAGGTGAGCACTGTAAATGCTATATGCCACAAGGTGCCACAGAACAGAAATTGAAGTCAAAAGTCATATGAGAAAGTAAGAAAATAGAATGGACAAAAGTTTAAATCTATGAAAATCTTTTTTTTCTCATTTTGGATCATATTTTATTCACTTCACCATTGTCTCACTCCATATCGTAATGAAAGGTCTCCCTTTCTTTGCTTGGGGTACTGTAATACAGACAGATAAATAGGTAAATAGATAGAAAGATATGAGTGGGGTGGAAGTAAAACTAAAATTTGAATACTGGAAATATTCAAATGTATGTTCCATGATAATCTCTGAATTATATGAGAGAGAGTATTTCAACATGGGGCAGAGATTGGACTAAATGACTTTTAAGCTAAGAATCTGTGATTATAGTATATGAGATACTACTAAATGACCACAACCATTAAGTATTTTAGGAGGTTCAAATATAGTTGTCACTCAGATTTAATTGGGGTTAGTGAATATCTGAGGAGCAAATTCCCTCTACCAATAAAGATCTGTATTTTCTCTGCAATTTACAGTATAAGACAATAACTTAGGCTCTGAGAAACCAGGACTGTTTGACTTTGAAACAGACTTTATCCACTGTGAAACACTGTGCTTGTCTCTCTTCATTTAAATCTACAGATGCATTGACAGAAACATAGATGTTAGATAAAAAGGAAGATAAATATGCACTCATATAATGCTAAGACAACATAGTTAATTTTTCCAAACCTAAAGCATTCCTGAATCCAGATAGATAAGTTAAGAACTATTCTTAATATTGATTTTATTCATTTACAAAAATTGCTTACTCATTACAGCACTTTGACTATATTAATGAAGTTTTACTAATGATTTTTATAAGACAAATCAAATGTAGCCACCAGAGGGAAAATTATATAATTGGCTATATGTGTGATTGTTTGTGTGTGTATGTATACACATACATACATATATATATACATATATACACACACATGTGTATATATGTTATGTGTATATAGATATATCATCATCATCATCATCATCACCATCATCATGTAAAAACAAAGAAAAACCAAGCCCAGGGAAAAAATAAATTTCAGAAAAGATAATCTTCAATGGCAACAATCTCTTTATATTGTCTGTATTTAAAATCAAGTGAATATTAGCAAATTTCTCTAGTACCTTTCATTCTTACACTTAAAAATTGGTAGACTCAGTTAGACCAGGTGATGCTGGTACATACTTACCTGAGTGTGTGTGTGTGTGTCTTTCAAATAAATGGTATAAAATTTATTGAGCACCTATTCATTCAAAGTATTCTTATGTACCTTTGTGTAGAGCCTTGTTGAACAAAGCACTGTTCCTGACATCAAATGTTTTCAATCTAAGAGTCGTACATTTTTAGGAGAGTTATAATAATTAATTTAACTTTGGTGCTCTAAATTATAAATGATTGTCCAATTATAAACTAGTGGTCATCCTGCTGGAGGCACTAAATCTTAACAATTTTCACTATAAATAAAATTAGAAGACTAAAGAAATTTGCCGCTAATCTGATTTTCCTTAGAAAGGAAAATAAAGGAATTGAGTTGGCAGAGGTGGTTTTAATTATAAACTAAAAGACAACAAAAAATATATAATGATTTTTTGTTAGATCCTTTTGTTGTGTATATGGGAAGCATTTGCAAAAAGGACAGGAGAAAATAATTGTACTTTATTGACAGATATGCAAATATAAACATGCATGCATATATGCACAATACAGCAAATGTACAGTACACATGTGTATGTATGTGCACATATACATGCATCCTATAAATTTATAGTCTAAACCAGCTGCCTTTGGCAATGTAGTATGTACTTATCTGTGAATGTTTTATGTCCATATACAACGTAAATTCTTCAAGAATGAGAACTACTTCATTTTTGTCTTTGTATCTCTAACACCTGGCACAGCATGTCTGGCATATTATGACAACTTAATAATTTCTTGAAGAAATAAATAGGATTGAATTTCCTCAAAAAAAGATAGTCATGATAACTGGATGTGAGGCTTCTGGGTCATCTATAAGACTTTAACCTTATTCTTTACCTCTGAACCATTTTTTTCCACAATTTTTACCATCTTTCCCATGCCTACTAAATATTTCAATTTAGATGGTTTTGTTGAAATCTTCCTAGAATTTTCCTAGCTACTCATCATCTCTAACAGATGTTATAATACTCAATATTTCAAGATGTATTCAGATTAGCAAAGATTATTGTAGAATTATCTTCCATGATCTAGACTTCTGTTAATATAATATAAGATATATTAGCTTTTTTTTGTCAATCGATAGCACGATATTGATACTTTTAAAACTTATGTTCATTTGAAACTTGCTGGTCAATTTCATCTGTGCTGTTTGCCAGTACAGGTCTCCCTAATATTGTTGTTCAATCACGTCCAATATTTTGTGACTCAGTTTGGGGTCTTCTTTGCAAAGATACCAGTGTGGTTTGCTATTCCCTTCTCTAGCTAATTTTACAGGTGATGAAACTGAGGCAAATAGGGTGAAGTGACTTGCCCAAAGTCACAAAACTGATAAGTGTCTCAGGCCAGATTTGAACTCAGGAAGACTGTTCCGGACTTCAAGCCTACCACTCTATCCAATGTACGATCTAGTTGCCAAATATAAATATATAAATAATTGACATAGCAGCCATGACTGAATCCATCATGATGGATGAGATTTCTGAGGAAAATGATGTACAAAAAGTAGAGCAAAGGGTTGGGAATGATTCTTGAGGAATGTTTATTTTCAGGAATGAATGGGAATAATTGGAATCAACAACATAGATGGGGGAGGAACTTCAGAACATAGAGCAAGAATTTAAAAGTGTAACCATATTAAGTAGAAAGGGCAAGAGAGATGCAAGACGGTGGTAGCCAAGAGTGTATTGTACATTCAAAAGGCAAAGGTAAACAAGGAGTAAGATAACACTACTGAATTCAGTAATTTAAAATATAGCTTTCAAAGAGAAGTTTCTATATCATGGTAGGGTGAGAAGCCAGATTTTAAAGAGCTAAAGATTCAGAGGGAAATAAGGAAATTGATATAACAGGTAGAGATCATGAATTTCACAGTAGTGAGAATGATTATCATATTAGCCACTGAACATCCATGATTCTATGGAATGCACATCTTTGAACATTCAAAAAATAGTAGCTACCTTTTGGTAAGCTGCTTAACAACTCAGGCAGCTGCATGGAAAATGTTTTTTATTACTGAACAAATTATTTCAATCTAGAGCAGAAGGGACCACCCTCCCTTTGGTATGGAAGCATATTATTCTTTAGCTTGGCAAGGCAGAACTTGCTAATTGTATTAAAACATACATAATTAAATGAATGTGGTTGGGCTTTCATATTTTAGCTGATGAAATGCTTGGGTATGTTGATTGTAAATGCTTTCTATAATTTTGAAACTGGGACTCTATCTTTTCTGGGAAGATTGCTAAAGTAGGATTTAACAATGGAATTACAAATAATGCATCTCATCTTATATTTTTATATTTTAATTTATGTCAGTAATCTGCTTAAAGGATTGGACAGAATGAAACTGAAATAATCTTGAAAGTATACCTAAGAATACCAATTAGAAGAGTATTATGCTTTCTGATCATAAGTAATTTGTCAATTAAAAATTTTCTGTTGTATAATGCTAGTCATATATAAAGCTGCTCTAAATAAGATTTTCTTCTCTGCTTAGTGTGAATTTCTGTGACAAGATTTCTAATTTTAATCCTAGCTAGGAAAGGAAGAGTTCTTAAATATCTCATAAAGAATTCTTAATAAATAATAATAGCAAAAAGTAATAATAATAATGATGACAATAGGTTAGTTTATATAAGACTGTGATAATCTTACAGTTATGTAAGAAGTAAATAATACACAATGAAAAGATGGGACCAAATTCCATTAACACTATTTACCGATGATTAAACATATAGACCACTGGAGAAGAAAATCACAAATCACTCCAGTATCTTTGCCAAGAAAATCCCATAGAAAATATTGGTGTGATTTGGTACTTGGGGTCACAAAGAGTCAGACACAATTAAATGATTGAAGATAAACATATAGTCATAGCTTAAAACTAACATGAAAAACAGAATAAAATACTGATAGATTTTTTTGGCACCTGAAATGAACAAGCCACATGTGTGAGAAGTATTTATACACACACACACACACACACACATACACATATACACACACATATACATACATATATGTATATATGAAAATATATTACATGTGTGTACATATACATACGTGTGTATATATTATATATACACATACACATATATACATGTGTGTGTATGTATATGTATATATGTATACATATAGAGAAAGTCTTCTATAAATACATGTAATCAAATGGTAATAAAACATTCATTATACAATGGTTTGGAAATGATAATATATTGCTATTCTGTAGGTATTGTATGATATTGGATTGTGATTTTGTAAATGTAAGAAACTATTGGTACCAGAATGCTTTCTACCCATACAACCCATTTATGATTGTAAATAAATATATATGTAGCTCTATGTATCTAAAGCACATACAACTTACAACATATGTGGCATAAAACAGCTAGTAAGTGTCAGAGGTAGGATCTGGACCCAGTCTTCCTGAATCCAATGCAGAATTCCAGCCACTGTGACCTACTGCCCTTGCCTATATTGTTTGATACATTAAACAACAGCAGTAGTTTATTCAAAACATTGTATATGTCTGCAGTTACAGTACTTTTCTACTATGGAAATTTATAGCAAGACTTTCTTACCATTGTGTAGCTATGGGCCACCTTCATGAGTTCAATACACCCCTGGGCATCTGCAAAAGCTCGGATCCCTAAGCAGTTTGATGGATGTAAAAGCTTCATAAGAAAATGACAGCACACTTCTACTACTTGAGGAAGCTGAAGAAGGCAAGCTGCAGCAAGAAGATTTTCAATAGTGTCTTCCTTTAGTTCCAGGCAACCTGAAAGTAAGTAAAGAGACCTGTGAAATTCTCTCTCTCTCTCTCTCTCTCTCTCTCTCTCTCTCTCTCTCTCTCTCTAATTTATAAGATAACTGACATTTTATTCATTAATGTAATACTGGAAATCACAGTTACACTGAGTTGATCAAGGAAAATGAGTATCCAAAACCAAAAGGAGTTACCATTTATTATAAGAATAGTAGCCACTCTAGCAGTAGCCATTACTGTCTCATGATTTAGAATTTAAAAAAAAAACCATAAACTCAATTTAGGACCTTTGAGTACAAGTTTATGGTACTTCAGATCATCTGGCTGTATATAAGCTTGAACATGAGGCTCTTACCCAGTCCAACTGATTTTACTTTATTTGAATTCAAAGCTTGGGAGTGCCTTCCACTCAAAAGTCAAAATGTCCCATCTTTCTTGGACTATAGCTTCCAAGATGAGTGGTTCCCAATTTTTTTTTTTGTTCTAATAATTCCCTTTCAAAACTCTCACTATCCACATTATAATCCATATCACAAAATATCAAAGTAACAGATATTTTTACTATAGCAACTCCATTATCAATGAACATTTATTTGGAATTCTAAAGATCTGGTGTTCCTCTACTTAACAGAGTAATTCTTTTTTTCTTTATTTTTAGGCAATTGGGGTTAAGTGACTTGCCCAGGGTCACACAGCTCATAAGTGTCTGAGGCCAGATTTGAACGTAGGTCCTCCTGACTCCAAGGTTGATGCTCTATCCACTGCACCATCTAGCTGCCCCTAGAGTAATTCTTAAAGACTGCAAAGGTAGGAGTCCATCAGAAGAACCCAGGAGCTGGATACTCATTCATTAATCATAATTCAAAAGATAAGTGCTGAGCACCTAATAATCATAGCACAGTAATAGTGGAATACAAATGGTTACAGATGGGCCTCACAACTTACAAAATAATGGAGGAGAAAATACATATACACAAATAAACATAGTATCATTAATATGATAAATGCATAGGAATTATTTAAATAAAGTGTTATGAGGATTCAGAGAAGAAAGCTATGAGAATTCAGTTACTGAGAATGCCAAACATGTCTTCAAACTTTTACAGATGCTATATCCAACATATGATCCCTTAATGGACCAAAACAACAATTTGAGGAATATCGTTTCTATAATAGGAAGAACACTCCTGTTGCATATTCTCCATATAGAAAAGAATTTTGTATAATACAATCAACAAACTTTTAGAAAGTAAATAAACAAAAATAAGTTTTGTCATACTTGGTTCTTCAAAATTTAGTGAGAGAATATGGCATAATGAGAAGGTACAATCAATCTAATTCACCAAACATTTATCAAGTTCCTATTATGTAAAATGTACTTTTCTAGGCATTAGAGATACAAAGCCAAAAACAAATAGTTTCTACCTATAAGGAGATTACAGTGTGTCAGAGATATGGGGAATGAAATTATCCTTAACAGTAATTAGGAAGTTAGGAAAAGGGGATGGTTTGAGGGAAAAGATAATGAGTTCAATTTTGGACATGTTGAGTTTAAGGTGCCTACCAAACATCCTCTTTCAGGTTTCCAACAGTGAGTTGAAGATATAAAACCGGACGTCGAGGGAGAGGTAAGGGGTGGCAAAGTTGATCTGAGAATCATTACCATAAAGATATTAGAATTCATGGGAGTTGATGAGATCACCAATGGAAAATGATTGAAAAAGAAGAGAAGAGGGTAAGCATGGAGCCCTGGAGGACACATGTTGATGTCTTCAATGAAGAGGAAAGGAGACTAGGAAGGAGGTATCAGCCAGGTAACAGAAGAAGCAGTAGAGAGTATTGTCATAGAAAACTATTAAGAAGACAGTATCAAGGAGAAGATGATTGTCAAAGTCTTTAGAGAAGGCAAGAAGGATGAAAGGACCAGGAAAAGTAACAGATGGGAAAGAACTGAGTCCTGAATGACATTATTCCTTCTGGTGAAGTGATCTTTTCTCAGAATAATATGTGTTGCTTCAGAATAATGTTTGTTCCATAATTAATGGAAGGCTAAATTTTACTTTGAGGTAAGTGAAAATCATGCAATTTTTTCTTATCAATTTCCTGGATCCCTTAAAATCTATGTATATATCCATTAAGGGTCTGTGAGTCCCAGGTTAAGAAATCCTGTTTTAGATCTTCTGTAATCATATCTACTCTTGCTTAAGTGTTAGGACAGTAACCTCACTTGGTCTTTTTTTTTTTTTCTCTGACAACTCTTCTCAAATAAGAACTCATAGATAACAGCATTTGACAGCATAGCTGACTGTCCCTCTAGTGCCCATGCTTTGTTTTGCTTTTTTGGCCTACTTGGGAAACTTGAGATGTGAAATAAAGATGGGTACTCCTGACTTCTAAAATATTTTAGATTTCTAACTCAGTTTACCTGATTTGGTCTGACAAGAGCAAATTCTCTTCCTGTAACTCAATACTTAGCCCTCTGAGCTGTGAAAATCTTCATATGATTACTGAGAGAAGCTGTCAGCTCTTAGCAATGTATTTTTCCAAGTCAGCCTTTTTCTTAAAAAAAAAAAAATATATATATATATATATATGTATATCTCTATATATGTGTGTGTCTATGTATAGGTACACACACATAAATATATTATTACTTTTAAACATCCTATATAATTTAATATTTTTTGAATAGTCTATCATTTAAAACACCTGCTTTCTTAATGGACTTTAAGATTTATGTTGAGAATTACTGTAGCAAACTCCCAGCAAACCTGATGCAAATCATAGCTTCTCTTGGCTACTTATTGTTTCTACGATCTTATGTAGAAATACAGATTCTGGGCAATTCTTGATATTTCCTTTCTTTTCTCTTCTCCCCTTAACTGACCAGATGTCAAGATCTCATTGTACTTTGCCCCTTCAATGTTCACCATCTCCTATCCTTTCATTCCTTTGGGAGTTTCCTACCTTTCCTCCTGTCACCTGAAGTTACTTGCTCAATTGTTCAGGTATGTATGAATGTAAGTAAGCATCATCACTATAACAATCAGATGCTGTTCCTATCTTTTGTCTGGTAAATCTTCTATAGAAATACAAATTGCTATCAACTTCTGATCTTTTACTTTCTCTTCTTTCCTCTTATGAAAATTAAACTTTTGATGTAGTCTGTTTTCTCTTTGCTGTTCCAGCATCCTCTTTTCTTTACTTTCAGAACGGTAAGGAAGGGGTGAAGAAAAAAGGACAAGGTATTGGGTAAGAATAGAATTTAGTGAACATATCTAGTTGAGCTGTCAGCCAAGTCAATATGATTAAATTGCACTTACAATATTTTATGGAACTTGCCCTTAGCTACCTGGCAAAATTCCTTTAAAATGCAACCTTGTTTTCATTTAACAAAAGGAAAAAAGTGGGGTTTGTCTGAACCTTGAATATGAGAAATAGGCGTGTAAAAAATGATCCTGACTACGGGTCGGGTTGGCAGTACCAGAGTCTATCTCAGGAGCACAGCAAATAGGGAAATTTTGATCTCTTCTCATGAGGGGTTTTCTCTTCTCTTACTGCTACTTTTACCTGTTCGTTTCTAACTAAAGTAAGCTAGGATGAATTTACATTAAATAATTTACATTGGGCAACTGAAAGAACTGAAATTTTGGATTTATGAGACCTAGGTTGGAGTCCTAGCTCTGATCTTTGCTAATTGGGTAGCCTTGGGACAAACCTCTTCAAACTTGATTTTAATTCTTTTTAAAGTGGGGATACTATTTTTAATAATTTGCCTCAGTTGCTATTAGGAAAATGTTTTGTAAACTTCAAAGAGCTATATAAATATAACCAATTATATGTCATTGCTGGCACTGACTTTTTAAGTTTACTTCTCTCTAGAGCTGCACGATTTTAGCATGGGGAACATGGCCTTCTCCCCGGGGGGGGGGGGGGGGGGTAATATTCAATGATCTAATTCTTAAAGAAGACTATCAGGCAAATACTGAATTGAAGAAATTATTTGTAATGTACATGTCCCATTTAGTCATTTTATGATAAGAAAGGGGATAAAATGAAGGAACAAGGGAGGATCTTCATCTCTCTATCCTGAACAACTTGCCTTCATTACTTCTTCGATGCTCCCTACATCACCCTTTTGACTAGACAGTAGATTAGATTAAACTATGCTAAATGCTGGTTTCATGAGTCAACAAAAAAGAAAGCTCTCCTTTTAAAGGGGCTTATATGCTAATAAGAATACAACATAAAAAAGGAAACCAAAAAGGGCAGCAGGTAGACATCCAGGGAGGAAAAATAGGTTCAAGGAAGGAACTCACAAATCTGAGGAGGAGGGTGCATCTCTAGTGTGAAACTACACGTATGCAGAAAGTCTGTACATGCCATAAGACGCAACTAACACAAATTTAATAAATTTTTAAATTATTCTTAAATTAGACATCTCAGTATGCTATTTGTGTTTTTTGTGTTGTTGTTGTTGTTGCTGTTCAGTTGTTTCCGTCATGCTCAACTCTTTGTGACCCCATTTGGGGTTCTTTTGGCACTGATACTGGAATGGTTTGCTGTTTCCTTCTCCAGCTCATTTCATAGAAGAGGAACTGAGGCAAACAGCATTAAATGACTTGCTCAGGGTCACAAGCTAGTATGATTCTGAGGCCATACTTGAATTTAAGGAGATGAGTCTTCCTGACTTCAGGCCCAGTGCTCTATCCACTGTGCCATTTAGCTGCCCCTAAAACTATGGCCTAAACTACAACCAATGTATTCCTGTGACAGACGATGCAAGAATTCATGAATTATAAAAGCAAAAGCTTGGCTCTGGACCTCTGAGATAGTAAAGCACAGACGACAAAGCCCTAGTTTCAAATCTTCCTTCTGAAACGCCTTGGCTATGTCACCCTGAGCAAATCGCATGACCTCTCAGTATATTTAGACAATTCTCGACAACTACAAATTACAGAATATTTCCTGATCTGCATTGGTGGACAGAGTTACCTTACTAGAGGTTCCCT